GGTGAGCAAAACTCTTATTTGGCTGCTTATAACAGAATTTTATGGTCTTTGATACCTCATAATATACGCAGGCATTTCAATGCTTAAAAAGGGGAAACATTTTTTCTGGGGGTTGAGGGGTGGGGTGGGGAAGTGTGGGTAATGCCTAATTATCTTGTTAACAATACCTGGAAACAAAATGCAACACTTTACGCTCACCAACCTGATAGCTGTCCCAGGTGATACCATAGCTTAAATTGAGTTGAGGTATAAAAGAACATGAGGATGGAATTTCCAACGTCCATAACTTCTGGTTAAGGCAGGTTTTAGTTTGAGAGTGAAGTGAAGACTTTCCCAGTGGGGAGCCTAAAGTTACATTTATTAAAGAATATATTTAAGGATTTTAAGTTTCTAAAGTAGAGGAGGTGTATAAAGCTAAAACTGATGTGGAAATCAGGGATATAGTACTGAAAGAATTTCAATGTCACTCTTGCAACCTATGTTTTTTGAAGAAAGAAAAATGATAATTCTTTATAAAAATGTTATTTATGTTAATATGCAATGGGTTTATTAATTCATTTAAAAATAAGTGTTGTTAAATGTTTTAGTTTTTATTTCTAATATATTGATAATTATGCCCCACATAAACAAAGCTTTTTGGGGCACCCAGTAACATTTAACAATGTAAAAGAATCCTGAGACTGAGGCAGGATAGTAAGAAATTAGTAATTCCTTGGCTACGGGAATGGGAAAACTGTGATGGATTGCTTGATTTAAGATGGCATCATCTAGCACCGACTCATCTGCCTCTTTCTCCCTTGCATGACCACTCACTCCTTTAAGCATTAAGCCCTCAGGACAATGAGGTTCTGACCAGCATCAAATAATCTTTAGGAACAAAACCTCCAGAGATAGAGTTTTGGTCAAACTAGAGATAACAGTTAGGCCACAGCTGAGTTTCAGCTCCAGGCCCAGAAAAGCAGCAAATCCAGATTAAGCGAAGTCATGGCTGGCATTAGGACCAGATGCAATGACCAATGATCCCTTACCCTATCACTGACCAATTAGTAGATAACATGACCCTGACCCTATAGACTCATTTTGATGACTCAGCATATAAAGGAAACACCTGGAAAGCTGATTAGTAGTCTCCTATAAAATTCCTGCCTTTAGAAAACATAAAAACCCTCTAGACAAAGGAACAGTGCTCGTGCTCTCCCTAGAACACACCCCTGCCTTCTTTCTTCAGGTGTGTATCTATGCTCTCTCTCCTAAGCTCTGGGGGTCCCCACAAGACTTGCAACCAGGGGAGCAATGGGCAGCGGCAGCTCATCCTCAGCTAACCCCTTGAACTTGTCCCCAGGGGCTCCTCTTTTGCTTCTGTAACTTGTTTCCTGAGCTGGCTTGCTCCTTGTGCCTCTGTGACTTTCTCTCTAAAAGGTTAAGGCAGCTCTCTGAGTGGCCACTAGAATCTTCTCTTCAAGTGTACTTTCACCTGCCTGCTAAATAAACTCCCTCTTGTGCTGGAGCTCTTGGTTCTGAATTCCTTCTTTGCAGAACTCAAGAATCAAGACTGAGTTCCAACATTGGAGCCAACATTGCTGCTAACAAGACCATTAAGTCTGAGGACCACATTCTTAGATTATCTTTTCTTGATGTCCACTAAGGGCTCTTCTTTGGCCAACAACTTAAAATTTGATGTTCTTGAAAACAGCATCCTAAGCCAACTAATCTTCTCATCATAAACTGGGATTTCTTAATCTTGGCACGATTGACATTTTGGGCCAGATTATTCTTTGTTATGAGGACTGTGCTGCATTTAGGAGTATCCCTGGCCACTAACTATTAGATGACAGAATTATCCTCTTACCCAAGTTATGACAACCAAAAATGTCTCCAGATACTGTCATATAAAACTGCCCTGGTTGAGAACTACTGCCCTACATACTCTTCCTGGAAATTTCACCTAATAATAAGATTTTAATTCTACTTATAATATTCTCATCATTGTATACTTTGTGCCAGGCACAATTTTAAGGATTTGGTAAGAGTTAACTCATTTAAGTGTCACCACTCTATGAAATCCTTCTGTATTTACATCAGTTAATGGCACAACTTTTACCATTAACCTCTCTGCATCTCAGCTTAACTAGTAACCTGGACATCATTCTAGGCTTTCCTTGGGCTCTCTTCTTTATTCCTGAATCCAAACATTCAAGTCCTAACAATTTTACTTTCCAGTTAATCAAATGTATCTTTTCCTTCTGTTTTCCACTATTCCTGCCCTCATTAGGGCCCTAATCTTTCCTTAGCACTATTGTAATTGTAACCAACTCCCATTCGGTATCCTTGTATTAAGTCCTCAAAATTATCTTTATTGCTGCTGGAGTGATTGAACAAAAGTACAAATTTGGCCATGTTGCTTTATGGCTTAAAGCTCTTTATTGACTGTTTGTTAACTAAGAATAAATTCCAGGTTCCTTTGCATGGCCTCTTGTTCCTTGAAAATGTGACCCTTTCCAAACTCAGTCTTGTCTTCTGTAACCTCGAATCACACTTTGCTCTGTAGCATTATTCTACTGTTTGTCATTATGTGAGCATACTGTGCCACTTCATGCCTTTGATCCAGTGTCATCTTCTCGGAAGTGGTCTTGATTCTACAACCTGTGCATGACTGTCATAGCACTTCCCATGGTTTGGGAAAATGATTTGTGTGTCCCACAGAGGTTAGTAAAAAAAAAAAAAAAAAAAAAAAAAAAAAAAAGCCATTTTTCGTGAGTGCCTTGCTGAGCCCAAGCTCTCATCATTTTATCTTCAGGCTCTGCTATGGTACAGGGCAAAGAATTCTTCAAATTGTTTTGAAAGCACTTAAGGAATAGAATACATAGGAATGGAACTGATTTAGATGGTTTTGGGGGTGTGGAGGAAGAAAAATCATGAAAACCTTTGTCCCACGGTCACAGCTGAGCTGAATCTCAAAGGAAGGGGACAAGCTCAAGACAAGGATGATTAAAAAGCATTCCAGATAGAAGAGTATAGGTGTGAGGTCTTTGAAAGCCACAAGAGATAGCCTTAATACAAAGGGCATATTTTATAACAAGTTTTTTGGTGGTGTTGTTTTTAATCTTAGGAGATATTAATGGGAATCTCAGGGTTTAGGTCCATGACTTCAGGAAACTGTATAAAATGATTACCAGATTCCTCTGGATAATACATTTATATGAAGATACTAAATTTAGCTCAAAAGCATTATTCAAAGTATAATTTCAACAATTCTTTTCTAAATGTATATTGCCTTATAGCGGCTCATACTGAAACTCATTTTCAATTTTCTGCCTACCAAGTACAGCCTTGAATGATTTTCAAAAGGCCATGCCTGTTGACTTGGCATTTATTCACTTAAAAAAAAAAACTTAGTCTTATATGTCTACTTCACCACCTGGCTCATAAGTCATTTCCAAATGTAATTTTAGAAATGGAAGGGTCCTTAGAGATTACCTACTACATCGGGCTAATTTTACAGGCAATAAAATTGAAACACTGAAGTTGAGTGACTTGCCCATGGTTCTATATTGAGGGCTTCCACTTAACTTTTTTACTATGTGCTCTCAGACCTTCTCTGCTGCTGTTTCTCTAATGTGTGGCCTGTATGCTCATTTCCAGTTCTTGTTTATTCTCAGCAAATTTAAATGACAAAATATCTTCTTTCAAACTGGTGAAAATGATTGGTTTTGACTTATTAATGTGCATAATTTGCGGGTTCCTTCAACAGACTTGGTTAGTTTCTTGGTGCTACGTACTTGGTTAATTTTACTACTATTTACAAACATTACCTCCCAAAGCCAAAGTCATTAAATAAAACCATGCACTCCCATGAAATGCTTAACTAACTTACCAGGTGGATATAATTTCATCAGTGTGACTTAGATGTTAGGATAAGTTCCCTTTCCATGCAGGTAGCTAAAAATTAGACAGTCACTGCTTGTGAGGTTTAGTATTCTATTGGCTAGCTAAAGCTGTACTTGTCTATCCATCAAAGGGCCTGCCAGTTCATACAGCACGGGACCAGGGCACTACCTAACCAGTTCTGTTCTAAGGGTAGGCCTTGCTCACTGGAAACACAATCCACAGGCTAGCTAATCACCAAATGTGAGACCTAGTGTAATGAAGTGAGCTGGTCTTCCCAGGCTCTTCCTTTGGGAATATGTTTCAAATGCCGAGAGAATCAGGTAGTTAATACACACTAAATCTAAGAGAAAGTAGAGAAAAGTCCACAAGTGAAGCTGAGGCTCCGAAGTATATAGAATAAAGGACTCGGCAAATAGGAGAATGGGTCAGGAATGGAAAAAGCTGCGTGCTATACTAAGGATGTTAAGAGTTTGGACTGTCGTTCTCCTGCTGCTAAGATCCTAACAGGTGGCTCCCCATCTGAGGCCACGATAAACGTTTCAGCGCCCGAAGTTTTCGTGAGACCTTTATTCCTTTACTGCTACTTGTGTCTCCTCCTTCAATCCTCTCGCTCCCGCTTCCACCAATTATCCCAAGTAGACGGATTTGATTCTTGCAATTAAAATCGCTAATTAACACACTTAGGGAATGAAAGGAGTGGGTAGAGTGAGCCTTCAGTTTTTGGGCATGTACTGCTCACTGACAACTTCTGTTAATTCCTCCAATACTGTAGGGAGTTCTACGTACACAACAAACTAGCCCTAACTTAAGCACTTGAAGCTTTCACCTCCATCCTTCCTATGGCAGACACAGACCACTAACCGTGCTCCCACAGCACAAACCGTGGTATCCGATTGGCGGGGGTTGCGGGGGGGGGGCTCGCAAGATTTATCTTTGACACAATGAAGGACAAGTACCCGGCTCTTCCCCTCAAGGTTCCAGAGGACCATACTAGCCGGCTGGAGTCCGCTTATCCAAGATCGCCGGCGCGGGACAGGGACTCCCCGCACTTGGAGACATTCCTGGGCAGCCAGCACCCCGGACCTCCCGGCCCCCGCCGCCCGTCTGGTCACCTGTAATTGTAGGCGCTGAAATGCTTGCTCTCTCTCAGCATCGCCCGGTACAGATCTAACACTTGCGCGCGGCTGGAGGCTGCCATTTTGGAAAGAAAAAAAATAAGTGGGTCCTCTTCGTGGAGGTCCCGCGTTTAACCCAACCACAAAATTTCAGCCTATGCAAAAACCACGAACGAAATAAAATGCAGTGGAGTTTTGTCTCGCTAGCACGTCAGGCCTCAGCCTGGGCGAGCAGCTGCCCCCGCCTCGGGCCGCTCCCTACCGCGGCCCGCGTCGCTCACGGCTTAGGGAGGCGGGCACAGGCGGGCGCAGGCGGGATTCGGGCAGCTAAAGGGGAGGTGCCCACGAGGAAGGCGGTTCTGCTCGTGTATCCCCAAGAAGCTCTAGCTTGTAGCAGCGCTGGGAGCAGGCTGAGGGTGGGAAGCACGATGGGCCCAGAGGGGACAGAGCTAGGCCATGGGGATGGGACCTGGGGGCTGCTTGTGCACTGCGCCACGCTCCTCCAGAACTGAGGAGGTCAGAGAGTTGGGTACTGAGGGGCATTGAGGACGTGCAGTCGTTCAAAGGATGCCTACACGGGAATCGTGCCGGGTCACGGCGAGGACATTTGAGTTTCTCAGCACGGCGCCAGGTAGCACCACCGCCCGGCGTGGAGCCGCGTTGCCCGGGTAACAGAGCGCAGGCCTTGCGGACGCTCTCCCACTGGCTGCAAATGCCCCTCCCCTCCCGCTGAGGTCGCCCTCCGCGCTGCCTGAGAGGCCGTTTGGGATTTCCAAGGTCCTTTTGCTGAGGTGGCTCTTTGTCGGTGGGCCCTGGGTGGGGGGCAACTAGTTGCGTGCGGGCACCACGGCATCGGGGCTCAGAGTACACGAGTCAATGGTTCTTTGGCGGTCCGGCACCGCTCAGGGCTACCGGGTAAGGGGCCTCAGAGGCAAGGTCCGCTTTCTTGTCCAAATGGCAGCGCCCAGCATGCTGTGAACGGAACTCTGAGGTGGGGATAAGAGCCTTCCTCCGGAGAGTAAGTGAGCCTACAGCGCTTCAGATTTTAAATACCCCAGGTCTGAGCCTCCCGGGCGGGCGGTTGGTGAGTGCCGATCTCGCCGCAGCCTGGGACGTGGGCGGTTGGTGTGGTAGGGAGTTACTTTGCCATGGATTTTTTTCTCTTTATGGACTATTTGTCTTCGGGGTTCTGCTTTTGAGTCATAAGTCCTTTAGAGTTTTGTTACCTTATAAATGTGATCTGGGCTGTACGCATGGGTGATTAATTGGGCAAACTTTAGGGATTCAAGCACTCTGTCGCAGAGTAAGTTTTCTGTTGAAGCTTTTCATGACTGAGTTTTCTCCCTTGCCTTTTTTCTGAAGACGTCAACTTTTCTGAACTACTACCATCCTACAGTGATGGATAAGTTGGTGGTTCTGGTCCTTGAACGTAGGACTGGGCGCAAGGAAGCCTTATGTAGTTCTCTGGTTACTGTGTTTGCAAAGCCCTTGTCTCTGGAATCTTACTGCATGTAATCTGTGTTAGGAAGAGCCACAGTTTTCTGTCCCCAGATACCGAAAGGGAAACCTTTATAGATACGAAACAAGTTTGCATTTACGCCTATCGTAATCCAATCTCTGAATTATGGTTTTATTTCCTCTGTTTAACTTCATGTGGTTTTGAAATGACACCTTGCTTAACTGTCAAAGCAACCTCGTATTTTCAGGAATTTTAAGGGCAGGAAACGCTTCTTTAACTTTACCACACTTACTGTATATACTCATTATGTTACTCGCTAGAATGCAATGACATTTTTAAAAAGGCATGGAAGGGAAAATACTTTTACTGAAATCCTCTTAAGCTTCCTATCTGATTTTTTAAAGGTCTCATACGTCAGTGAGTCTCAAAGTAAGGTTTTTCAAGGGTAGCTGACGTCTGTCACTCTCTTAGGTTGATCAGGTCGTTGGGCGAGTCTTCCCTTAGGTTTTGTTGAAAGGGCTTTTAATATTTTGAATTTTTCCTTTGGCATTACTCAAAGGCTTTAAGACCAAGGGAACTGCAGGTTATTACAGAAGTAACACCTGGGAAAACTACAACGTTGATGCAAGTTAAAAATAGAAAAAACTATCAAAGAAGAAAAAACATGACAATTATTTTGCCTTGTTTAAAACAGTGGGGATTGTATTATTTTATATTATGCTTTGATCTAGAAAATGAAGTTGGGATAATATACAATAGTTTATGTGTAATTATCAAGCAGTTTAATCATTAATGTATAATTAATGTATCTAAATGACTAATTTTGTTGTAATCAAATAAAACTTTTCAAATATATAAAGTTTAGTTTGTTTGGATAGCCTAATCACCTGTTGGTACAAGGTTAGGAATGTGATAGCTTCTCAGTTGACTGTAAGCTAAGTCCTCACAAAAATACTTTTATTTTATTTGAAATAATTTACCATATGTTATATATTGTTGCCTTGAAAGATTAATAAAAATGATCAAATTCCAAAGCCAAATCTTTACTTTTACACATCTTCATTGCAGAGATGACTATTTTCAATAAGAATTGCCCATCTGAGGTTGAAAGTGGAATTAGGCCAGAAGCTGGATGGACCATACTTATATACCTTTTAATATTCATTTATTCTGGGCTGAATATTCTCTTGGGTAATGGCCCATTTACTACTGTTTAAGCCTCAAATGTAAATATTTTCTTAATATTCACTTATCCATTGTTACGAAATATCAATAGTTCTTTCCTTACCTATGTCAAATACATTACCTTATGTTAAAATTAGGATTGCTAATGAACACTTAACGCTTTTTAAAGAGAAATTTCTTTAATCATATTAAGCAAAATAAATGTAACAGTAATTTACTGTCCCTAGGCCTAAATATTAAAATATTTAAAGAAAATCTTGTATATACCACCAACTTGTGATACTATGACTTAGAAATTATTCCACTCCAAACATGGATCCAAGTCTTTATTATACATAATTGTCATTTGATTTCATTGATTCTTCATTCTAGTAGAATATGAAGCTGGAAGAGACCTTGGACATCAACTCACTCATTTTTACAGATGAACAAACTAAAGTTCTTTCCTCATTCATTCATTCATGCACCATTTATTGAAACCTTCCTAAGTGCCATACATTATACAAGATGATCTAGTTACAACGATGGGAGTCTCCTTCTCCTTGCAGAAACCAGTAGGGACCTCGATAAGCAGAGTAATAATTTTTTGACAGGTGCTATGACAAGGTAATACAGGGTCTGGCACAAATAACACCCTGTTTTTATTACAAAATCATGAGCATGTAATTCTGAAACATAACAATATTATTCTCAGGCACACCATATGACATTTTAGGTGAAATGTTCAAATTGCTGTCCATCTCATGCGGGACATTCACATACCCTCCCAACCCCACTCAAGCAAGCTTTACTTCTGCTGGACCCTGTATTATCAAGTGTTAGGGGAGTACACAGGAGGGACATTAAACTAGGATTTTGACCTAAGGGAAAGCTTTCCATCATAGAAGGCACTTTCATAATGAGTAGTAAGACCCAGGTGAAGAATGTAAAATAGTATGTAGAGATAGTGGTGTACATTCAAAGCATGGGGGCATAAAGGAGCATGATCAATTCAGGGGATTTTAAACAGTTGGATGTGTGGGGAGACCTAAGGCATGGTTAGCCCTGTACCTGCTTGCTTGCTTGCTTGCTTGATTGATTTAGTTTATCTTTTCAAAGATCCAGCTCCAGGATTTGTTGATCGTTTGAATTGTTCTTTTAGTCTCTATGTCATTCAGTTCTGCTCTGATCTTGATTTTTTCCATCCTTCTCACTGTGGGGTTTGTTTGTTGTTGTTTCTCCAGTTCTTGAAGCTGTAGAGTTAGGTTGTTTATTTGAAATGTTTCTATCTTTTTAAGGTAGGCCTGTATTGCTCTGAACTTCCCTCTCAGGATTGCCAACGCTGTGTCCCATAGGTTTTGCACTGTTGTATGTTCATTTTCATTTGTTTCCAGAAACTTTTTGATTTTTTCTTTGATCTCATTATTGACCCATTCATTGTTTAATAGCATGCTATTCAGTCTCCATGGGTTTGAATGTTTTTGAGTTTTTTCCATGAGCTTGGTTTCCAGTTTCAAGCCCATGTGGTCTGAGAAACTGCTTGTTATAATTTCACTTTTTCTTGAATTTTTTTAGGGTTGTTTTGTGTCCTATCATGTGGTCTGTCTTTGAAAATATTCCATGTGCATTTGAAAAGAATGTTTCACGTTTCTCCCTTACTTTCTTTAGGATTCTGTGATCTTTTGGGATGAAAAGTTCTATATATGTCAGTTAAGTCCATTTGATCTAATGTGTCATTCAGTTCCACAATATCCTAGTTGATGTTTTATTTGGAAGACCTATCCATTTTTGACAGTGGGGTGTTAAACCCCCTACTATCAGTGTGATGCTGTCTGTATCTTTCTTGAAGTCCTCCACGATTTTCCTTATATACTTGGCTGTTCCTATATTGTGCATATAGGTGTACAGTGTTTATATCTTTTTGATGGATTCTTCTTTTGAGTGTTATGAAGTGTCCTTCTGGGTCTCTTTTTTTGGCTTTTGTTTTGAAATCTATTTTGTCTGATATAAGTATTGCTACCCCTGCTTTTTTCCACTGTCCATTTGCTTGGGATATTTTTTTCCATCCCTTTCCTTTCAGTCTGTGTAGGTCCTTTGTTCTGAGGTGGGTCTCTTGTAGGCAGCATATGTGTGGTTCATGTTTTCTTACCCATTCAGCTACCCTGTGTCTTTTGATTGGAGCATTTAATCCATATACATGTAAAGTTATTATTGATAGGTACTTAATCATTTTTCCCTTTGTACCTGTGTTCCTCTTTTTCTCACTCTTTTTCTTCATCTTCTTTTTTTTTTATTTTGTGATATTTAGTATGTGCCCACATTAAGCTAAGGGTACTATTAAGGACTTACAAACCAAAATAAAACAAGACAAATTTACACAAAGACAGTAATTTAACACCTTTATTAACAGGTGCTTGCAGTTTGTTGACTTTTTTGAAAAAATCAAGTTGTACACTTTTATTACAAATTAAAAATGAGGTTCTTAAAAATCTCAACTTGACCAGATATGAAACAATTTAAAAACCTTTAAAGGTGTATTGAGAAAAACCAGGCTTATTTTTTTTTAAAAACACGTTTGTCATTACCAAAAAGAGACATCTTTAGATAAAAATAATAAAAACCCCATGCTGCATAGATAATGCAGATAGTTCTAGTCATCTGGTCAACGGGC